CCGCCCAGCCCTGCCCGCCCGCCGGGGTCGGGTTTCCCCCCTCCCCGTACCTGCCTCAGTTCTTGACTTCTGAACTCTTCAGGGAACTCGCTGGCGCCAGCTCCATCAACCAAAGTCCTTGTGGTTAGGAGCTGAGAGGGGAGGGAGGGAGGGAGGGCTGGGGCCAGCCGGGTTCGGGGTGGGGGGGGCACCCTTGGGCAGGGGGCCTTCTCAGCCCCCAGGACCACGTCTGCCTTCACCGCTCTCTGTAGGGCAGTCCGGGCCACTTCTTGTGCCCCTTCCCATGTAGAGAGCGGGAGGCAGACCTCATTTCCAACCCCAAAGATTTCAGTTTGCCTAGGTGGAAAAGGCACACACTGCACCAGTGTGGGGATGTGGGGGTTCTCCCTTGCTCTCAGTGAGTCCAGGGGGGATCTAGTTCTGGGGTCGGCACCTGGGCGATGCCCCATCTGAAGTAAATAACAATCACATGCTGTTTGTGACACTGTGAGCATTGACCAGTGCCCTCGGTCAGTGCATGGGCCCCTGCGTGGTGGGCAAAGCCTGTGCCCTCCCCAGCACCAGAGATCCCTCAGCCTGAGCAGATGCTGAGGGCTCCAGAGGGACCAGCCCTGAGAAGTCACAAGGTCACCACCACCGAGCCATCCTGGGTGATGAGGGTCACAAGTCACCAGCTGCTGAGGTGGGGGCTCTCAGGCTGTAAAACCTGCTAGGACAGAGACTGCAGGTAAGCTCGAACAGGGCCTTTCTTTGCCAAGTGGCAGTGAGGAAAAAGGAGATGGGCAAGCAGGGCTGTGATCCTAACTGGGATTCAGGACGATGGAATTAGTGATGTTTTTAGGGATGATACATAGCTGCGGAATTCTATTCCTGTTTGAATCACAGACCTCACCTGCAGCCTTGGGAAAGCCATGCAGCTCCTGGTATGGAAAGTTCGGGCACTGAAAGTCTAAATATCACGGAAATACCCGATTCAGATGCTCAGGTTCAAATTTCTCGCCACCTCAAATTTCCCCTACAATCCCCAAAGGAAGGAAAGTACTGAGACAGAGGGATCTGCAGACATGTGTGAGCTCCATTCACCCACTTTCCTCCCGAGTTCTCTGCCCATGGTAGGATGGGGCACTTAGCCACTCTGTATCTCTCTCTCCCACAAGCTCCTGTGATATAGTCCAAGTTGGAGGACTACACCCTTCATCTCCAAAGCTGCTGAAGACTTTCAAAGCTGGATGAATGCAGTAGTGGGAGCTCAAGCCCAGCAGAGGCTTCATATAGACTCTGTCAGCTTGACATCAGAGCTTTCACCATCTGCTGAGTGCTTGAGTGCTTGTCCTTGCACTGGGAGGTGCAGTGGGAGTTCTTTTCTGGCTAGAGAAATACTCCCCCCACTACCTTCATCTTGAGGAAACATCTCAAGAAAAAGACAGATCAGCCTTCTTCGAAGGTAGAAAAATAAGGTCTCCAAAATCCAAACTTCTTTAAGTCACTGCAAAATTAGTGAGGTGAGGAGAGCAGTTCCCTTGATTTCTAGTTCTGCAGAATCTTTTCCAAATGGACCTCCACTTTAAGCACTGAGAGTCGCTCGCCTATTCCTGTGAGCTTCGAAACTTTTATCTCTCCTCACCTGCCCCAGAGCAGCTGCCCCGGGTGCCCGGGTGCGGGGCTGCCGCTTCCCCACGGCCACGCTACGAGCACGCAGGAGCCCCAGGGAGAAGCCAATTGTGAGGGGGGCAGAGGCGGCAATGGAGATGAGGGGACCTCCTGCATAAGCCCCCTCTTTGCCCTCCCTACCGCGGTCTGGGGACCCTTTCTCAGGTTTTCTCATTGATCCGGAGCATCTGCCTCCAGCTTGTGGAGAGGGAGCAGGGCAGCCCGAGCTCCAGGCTCCTTCCCTATCATGCTCTGAGTCCACAAATTTCCTGAATTTTTTGGACTCCCCTTAAGCACTGCCCTCGCCCAGATCGCAGCCTCCCCCATGTCTTTGGCATCAGACACAAGCAGACCCCCAGCCCAGCAGCTGCTGCGAAACACCAGCCACCCCCCAGGGTGGACCAGGGACAAAAGTGGAGTGCCTGAGACCTTGGCAAGGTCCCAGCAAAGCGCACAAAACCCTACGATTCGACTTTGTTTGAACTTGTAAACCATTCCCAGTTACCTGAAGAGCGATCGAGAGTCTGCAGGAGGCAGACTTGACTGCAGCCGGACATCACCTTGAAACCGCGTGGAACAAAACATTCCTCCCACTTTCTAGCCTCTTAATTAATTTATTTCGTTTTGGCAATGGGTGTGGGAGCGTGGATTGACCAGCGCCGGGTGCTTATTCACCCTTCCGCCCATCCATCACTTTCCGCACTTCTTTCTCTCCTGCCCCATTCCCTGTGAAATCAATTTCCGCGGTGCCGACCGCACCCGCGCGGGACGGGAACACGCAGAAAGGGAGCCCGCCTGGGAGCCCCCCGGGGACACGGCGGGGACACAGGGCAGCCGGCGAGGCCCCCAGGCTGCACCGGGAGGGAGCAGCAGGACCCA